CAACTGTCAAAGTGACATAACTTTTGTTGAGCTTATCTCCCGGATTATAAGTTGCACCAATAATGATTGAAATAAAACTCAATAATATTTTTCAACTATGTATTCTAAATTGATCTTTACGAATTACTTATATTACTTATCTATGAAACTTATTTACAATATATACAAAACTCGGATGCTATGATCAATACCTCTCTCGAGACATACGGTATCTAGGCAGATTCAGATTGCAAGCTCGCGGTTATTCAAAGCAACTGAGCTATATCATTCCAGTCTAAAATGTTAAGAGCAAAACAAGCAGCAAGCCTCAATTCTATTACATGCAATATCTAGCATACCGGGGATACCCACTGAGCATGCATGCACGCAGGCTATCTATCGTGCAGCCCAAATGATCAGGTGATACACACTTAGACGGCTGGAAGAGAACAATATATTGAATACACAACAATATCCTGCATACAGGGGATACCCACTGAGTATGCGTGCACGCAAGCTATCTATCGTGCACCTCTAATGATCAGGTGATACACACTTAGATCATAACGGCTGAAAGAGAACAATATATTAAATACACAACAATATCCTGCATACAGGGGATACCCACTGAGTATGCGTGCACGCAAGCTATCTATCGTGCACCTCTAATGATCAGGTGATACACACTTAGATCATGACGGCTGAAAGAGAACAATATATTGAATACACAACGATATCCTGCATACCAGGGATTCCCACTTAGTATGTCTCTCTTCTCGCCTCACCTAATGCTCTTCTTCTCCTTTACTCACTGGTCGGTTGGTCGGTCCGGTCTCGTCTGCTGTCGTGGCTGTCTGGTCTGTCGCTCTTGAGGAACTGCCCTCCTGGTCTGCAGTCCTCAGGCTTCTAGGCGGCTCTTCCCTCTCCGTCGGTAGCTCTCGGCTGGCTTCGGTGTCGGCTCGTCCTTGGTCTCGCTGGTCTGCTGCCTTCGCGTGTATAGCCGGCTGAGCGCACCAGCTATACTGATTTTCCGTATCGCTATCTGAGCTACGGCGGCACGCGAGACGAGGTTCCACCACTCTACTTGAATAGTGGGGCGCGTACGCTATACGTATACCTAGGCGGATATCGATCTCAACTCCATTCGGCGCTTCATTAATTATCCACCCAAAATTATTATAATCAATCAAAACTGAATCACGGCTGTTGATATCTATGAATAATACTTCCGGTGTATTATTAATAGTATTCACGAAGAAGAATGGTGTTTCTAGCTGACCATTTACAAAAGTTCGTAATCATTATACCGTATGTCTCATATAAAACTAAAAATTAAAAGTAACTTCGTTACAACTCGTTACCAGATCATCCAAGAGGTAGAGTGGCTGATCCATTTTGCATTTTTTCATGTGAAAAACAATCCCCTGTAGGTATATACAAAACCACACTCTCTGAAGATTCGGGTTGAATGATTCATTATAGAACAGGTGACAGATTTTGATATAAAATCAGAGCAGTTTTGTTTTATATCTAGCTGCACGAAGATTCATTCCTAAATTGATAGAAACACTCCATTAATTCGCCAGATAATGCCTCTTTTGTGTTTGTTATTCTCTTTTTTGTTTTTAGAACAGGTGACTGTTGATATAAAATCAGAGCAGTTTTTGTTCGTTCTATTTCTAGCTGCAAAAAGATCGATTTTTGAGTCAATAGAAACACTTATTTGATTTGCCAGATGGTTGGTTCTTTTTTTTTATTGAACTATTCACCTCAGACTTTCAGAGTAGCCGTGAAAACGGCTGATTTTTGAATTCACCGAACAGGTCCGGTTGTGTTAACGATTGCTCGTTATCTCTCTAGTTTTGCGCCGGCTACTTTTTATCGAATTTTGTACAGAATACTGATTAGAAAGCTTGAATCGTAATTTGTTCACCTCTGTCTGATGAATAAGAAAGGACGATGATGTGATTCGAAAAATTATAATGATTTCCACTTTTTGAAACCGTGAGGTACAGAAGTGTGATCTTCGAGAAATTTCCGCTCCAAGCTTACAGGCTTGTACTTTTCGGAAATATCAACTGTGATGACCTCATGTTCTTTGGTTCGGCGAAAATGTCTGCTCAAAATTTCGATAGGGGCACCAGGGTTCAGAATCATATCTTTGATCGATTCAAAGTAAACAAGCTGTGAAGCAGCATAGTTAAGAAAAATTCTTTTCACATTGCAAACAACTTTGAACTCTTGTTTCTTGGTTGACCATAGCTTATAGGCATTATTTTTCGGACCACCAGATACAAACTCTGTGATATGAGAACCAGGGCCGTAACATTCCATTTCGTCGGTCATATCACCAATAAATTGACCAGTAGGAATGTCAAATTCCTCTGGCTTGGAAACATAGATGACAGAGTCCGTGTCATAGAATAACACCCTTTCCCCGAGTTGCTGTAAATAGCTGTAAAGCTTCAGTCGAGCTAAGGCTGTTACATATGCAGCTATCACCACATTGACTGTGGAAACAGTGTTATAGCTTTCCTCCTTATACTCCCAATTAACAACGATGGTATCCTCGTTTATTGGGAGTACTGTATCGACAATAAGGAAAGGATCCGTCATCATTGAAAAGAATTCCGAGGGCTGATTGATTATAGAGGTTTTCGGTTGGTTTTCACGCTGATTAAACTCACCCCAGAAGGAATTTAGCATAAGCTTGGCCACTGCTCTCAAACCGGGGTTATCAGTTATTTTAGAATACTCCAACAAAACATCCTCCCGTTGTAAAAAATCTTGGGAACACCCAAATCACCAGAATGTAAAATCGCAGGTCCGTAATCCATCAGAATATACATTTTCAAACCAGTAACTCAACAGAACAATATTTTATAGGAATCGTATTAATCTCTACTGTAGATGCACAGAACCGTAATCCCTCAAACCGTATTTTGTATACTGTACATGAGCATACCAGACAATAACAGATTGCAAATGCGCAGATGTGTATTTTTCTATGATAGCAATATCGCAGATCCGCAAATATACAGAATCGAAAACGAACAAACCAACATCACAGCGGAATGATATTTCGTCAGAATCATAACAACACAGACCGTAATTCGTCAGAATCGCAAAATGACAGACCGCACGATAGCAGACCGTACTTTGTCAGAATCGAAATACAACAAACCGTTTATCGACAGAATAGTGAAATGTCAGAACCGTACATTGACAGAATAGCGAAAAATCAGAACAGCACATTCACAGAATCTCAAAATATCAGAACTGTAAATTGGAAGAATCGTAAAATGCTGAAACCGTACATCGACAGACTCGTAATACAACAGACCGTATTCCATCAGAATCATATTATATCAGAACGTACAATGACAGAATGTACTTCATCAGACTGTAATGTCATATACTATATTGTGATAGAATCGTGAACTATCAGAACCGTAATTCAGCAGAATAGTAAAATGTCAGATCCGTTAAATAACAGAATCGTGAAAATTCAGAACCGTACATCGACAGGATCGTGAAATATAGGAACTCTACGTCAGCATAACCGTAAAAAATCAAAACCGTACATTGTCAGAATCGGAAATCATCAGAATGTAAAGCAGCAGAACCGTAAAATAACAGACTGCAGAGAGGCCTACCAGCTACGCACAGAGCAAGCGCCGGGCACAGTGTTGCCTGCTCTCACGTCATGTGGGGATTCTACGTATACTTTTAGTTCGACCTGCTTTAATGTTCCAATTGCTCTTGTAGACTCGAGAATAAGATCGTTCATATGATATGGAGTGATGAATGACCAGATTTGAATATGAAATATATAAACGTTACCCAACTTTTTTGCTATATGGAGAAGAAAGTGATTGAAATATTTTCTTAGAAACTACAATCCCTTGAAGTACGTTGAGAGAAGGGTTCGAGAAATAGGTGTTTGGCATGTTACAACAAACTTTGGAGTTTTCGAAGTTTGATCATATATACAAGATATTGAATAATATAACCATCTAAATATATGTAATGTATGTATCTAAATCAATGATGACTGCATGCTCTTCATATGAATCTATATCATACTCAAGTTCATTCATTTTGTATTTTGTACCCATATTTTTTGAAAAGGAAGAAGGTGATACGAAACTAGATTGAAATCAAAGTTCAGCTACGGAATTTAGTTTCGAGAATTCTTTATTAAAGATAGTTAGTGCGGTGCTGTAGATAGGGGTTGATGAAAAAATGCTTATATATATATATATATATATATATATATATATATATATATATATATATATATATATATGTTTTTGTACCAAGTCGAGATCCGAATAAATTATGGACTACCCGAGATGTGAAAAATGTGTCAAAAAGATTTTGTAGATGGATCGAACAATTGGATTGGACATTTCATCTATTTATTATATCATATCTAATATTACCACTAGAAAACGAATTTTTTGACAATTCCGACTTTTAAGGTGGAGAAAAGACGTGAAATGAACTTTGAACTTATAGAGGTTTTGTTGAGGCTGAAAACAAATGACGTCAGGGAAGACTACTTGGCTTCCTCTATTTCAGCAAAAAATATGACTTGACTCATTATTTTTTCACCTTGAAATTCTGGTCGATCGCAAAACGCATGTGTGGCTCTTGGATTATCTGTCAACTTGAGGAATTTATTGTTTAGTGAACAGAGTATCATCCATCACTTGAAGCGCGTGCAATTTGAAATAGGACCATAATCATCCGATATCACTCCTGCGATCCGACATAGCCCCAGGTGACGGTACTGTATCGATTATTCTCGAAATGAACTTCACTATAGAACTGTAGCAGTGCAAGGCCTATTATGTTACTGAGAATGTAATGAAACGCTCAACATCTTCACCAACAGATATGTAAGTATACGAGAATAAGTGACTAGAATTCAAGAAAAAGTGAAGGGGAAGAGAATGACACAATTATTCTGATAATTCCTAACATATTTTATTAACCACGATTTAATAACTGTAGATCTACCAGATGTCACATTTATTTTCTGGATTCATTTTGGATCCTTTCGCGCATCCAAAATCGAACGCGAACTCTTTCAAATTCTGCAAAGGACCGTTGACTCTGAACTTCTCCAGGGACCACTGATTTCGATCAATGTATTCTTTCAGGCTGTCTTCAGAATATTTGGCGCAGTGACGCGTGGCGGCGGATATCCAGAACAACTGATTGGCGGAGTAGTTCAAACCTGGAAGGAGAGTTTCCGGCCCATTCTGTTCATTCCAGTTAATGTATGTGTCATAAGATATTTTCATTCCTGCCAAATCTGCCATATCTTCGTCCTGTGTTTTTCCAGGGTGCAACTGAAATCATTTTAATAATGAAGAAACGACACTACATACAATATATTTGAATCAGATCATTCGATATTTGATAAATTGGGATTAGTTCAAATTCGATGTTTCGATTCTCCATTTTTCAGGTTGTTCAGTACTACTGAGTTTCCTCAGTTTTCAAGTAATCATATTATACATTATTATCAATAATAATAATAATAATAATTAACGTCTTTATTACTCACATCACATCACATCTTACATCAGTATATGAAAAAGAAAAAAAAAATTGAAATGAGTAAAAGGCGAAGTTCAATTCAGGTGGAGATGATGAATCACCACTAAATTGTTCTTCCACTTAACCTCCTATACAGTCTCTTATTCCGCATTATTTCAAATATGGATGTCTGCATGATCGAGTTTGCTACCTAAGATTGAAAATAGTACTTTTCAGAATTCAATATGAAATTACGAAGAGGGGGAAATACATGATACGTAATATGGAGACGATATTCAAGATTTTCATGGTATCAATTTGTTATACTGAAGCTAAAATAAATATTTTTCGTAGGTGCTTTCAAATTTGTGAAGACCTTCATTTTACATTGATTGTGGTATAGAGTTGTGAACTTTACAAATTTGGTTAAAGAATGACCGCTTGAAGGATTCTGTTCTGGAATGGGGAGGTGATAACGTACCTTTGTATCGTATATTCAAATTGTGGATGTCGGACCGGAATCTCAACCTTCTGTGGAGGTAAGGAGATGTTTTGCTGATAATGATTTGGTGAAACAAGCAAGCATTGTGTAGAATTCGTCTATGTTTCATATTCAACCAACCAGTTTCACGAAGTTTGTAAGTGATTCTTTGCCTTCTGCGTATGCCATAAATAAGTCTCAAACAAGAGTTTTGAACTTTTTGAATTTTTTTTTGTACTGATTGGTTAAATTGGGACCATATAGAGCGTCGGCATAGTTGCATACTGATAATACCAAGGTTTCACATAGGGTAGATTTGATAGTTGATGAAAGGAGGTGCCTACTGCCATGAATTAACTTTATTGCGGAACAAGCCTTTTGTATTGATTTGTTCACGTGTTTTTCAAACCTCAGATCAGTGTCAATCAGAACACCTAGATTTCTAGCTGAATTTACCTTTACTAGAGCCTCATCATTGAATAGGATACCAATATCAATGTTAATATCCCTATTTAGACAGACAGTGATCAGATGCGAGCTTGACGAAAGCATTCAGGTCTGCATTGATCAGAGTGGATGCATCTTCAGATTCATCCATTGAAAATTTGAAATAAATTTGCGTGTCATCCGCAAAGAGATGAACAGAACAGTTATGAAGAGATTGAACTGAACCTGAGGTATATATGATAAAGAGTAGAGGGCCCAAAATGGATCCTTGAGGTACACCTGAAAACAATTCAAGATATTGTGACTCATCATCTCCTATGCGTGCTTTTTGATGTCTGTTTTTCAAATATTCTCCCAATAATGCAATAGCTCTGTCAGAGAGTCCTATATAATGTAAAATTGCTAGAAGCAAATTGAAATTGATGTCTTTCTCTTTAGCTCCAAATATTTCATCAGTAACGTGTAAAAGTGCAGTTGTGCAACTGTACCCCCACCCCCTTCTGAATCCTGACTGAACTTCTGGTAGTAGTGGGTGATTTGTAATATGATCCCTCAGTTGTGACCCGATAGCTCTTTCTAAGACTTCAGAAAGGGTCGGATAGGAATACTCAAAGCACGTTGATCTTTATATTCTACGGGATTAGTCTTCTTGGGCAAAATCATGACAACTGCCCTCTTCCACAAATCTGGTATCACATTGTTGCATAAACAAGAGTTGATTATGTGCGTGATGTATGTGATTATAAATGGACAACACATCTTGATGAGTCTCAAATTCAGACTATCGCAGCCCTGTGCATTAGTCTTAATGCTACATAGAGCCTCATTTATGAAAATATCATTTACTTCCTGAAATTCAAAGGATGAGTCAACACGGGTATTGGTGGCTGTAGAAATGCAGAAGATCTGGTGGGGGTTCTTTGAGAGGAATTGAGCTTGTGAAGTAATGATTCAGATCATTCGAGTTTTTTAAATGTTCAGGTAGCTCATGCGACTTTTCAGGTATAACTTTGGTCGATTTCAAGGTTCTCCATAAGTCTTTTTTGTTCTTCGTATTGAGTTGATTATTGAAATATGCCTTTTTTCAAATTTTTTATAGCCCGATTCGTGTAGTTTCTCATATCTTCATGAAATTGAAAATGAGCATCTGCTTTAGTTCTCCTATATCGCTTTAATGCTCTCTCCCTGATGAAGATCATTTCTTTGATTGCCCCAGTTAACCATAGAGCTTTTGGTTTGGTTACCCTCGAAGTAGTGATAGGAGCATGACGATCAAATTAATTCACGTAACAATTCACTAAGAAAGATAACTTTTCATCAACATTATTTTGATCGAATATCCTGAAAAAAGGGGTGGCATAGAGATCATTCTGGAATGCATCTTCATTGAAATACTTGAAATTACGATGAGTGCACTCAGACAATGCCAATGAGGTCATATAAACATGTTCATAAACCTGAATGAACTGATCGAAAATAATTCGAGATATTGTGTTTTTGCTGTGGAGACATTTTTCTAGAAAAAAAGTAGGAAAGAAATATCGTCATTTCCTCCCGGACAGTATTGTTCGGGATTGATATGATCAGAATGTTTTAATTCTACATTATGCAGGACTTTCCTGAACCACAAATTATATTTATTTCCATCATACAGGATGTTTCGAATAATAAAAAAAGGGTTCTGCACATTTTCAGAAGATTGTATGCCTAAACGTATGGTTATTGTACTAAATGATTGTTAATTTATAAAACTCACAATGAAACAAGGCCGAGAAGGAGTTTCATTGCAGAGTGATATTTTCAGGAGAATATATCATTATCTGAACGATATTGATTCAAGGTAAAAACTGTTCTAGGCATATTTGAAAGTTGATCTGATCAATGCTGAGGAAACCAATTCATTACTTTCGTCCTATTTATATACAATTAAGAGAACAAACTCAAAGTCTCGCTCCAAGTAAATTTCGATAAAATCATATGTGCTACATGTTCCGACTCCTAGGAGTCATCATCAGGCTAAAATACAAAAACTTATAAATAGAAGAAGTTCCATCACTATTGGAAAACGGGTGACATACCTTGCTAGGTAGGAGGAGAAAGGAAACTATAAAATTGACGACATAGTTCGTGAGGGTTTTTGGCCCCAAATGATTTTAAAAAACATTTTTGAATTTTGGTTTTTTGAACCTTCAGATGAACATTTTTTTATGATGCTTAATTTTTGTATCAAATAAACTTAGTGTACAGCAAGAGACGCGAGTATGGAGTAAACAAACCATCAGACTAATTGATTCGAAAGATAACAATGGTAGATAAAAATTATTTTTTGATAAACAAGTGACAAATGTCATTTATCAAATACACAAAACATTGGAGTTGACTCAATGGACCATACATCAAAGTTCATAGCAAACAAGAAAATGTGTCTAGATTGACTAAGTCGGGTATTTAAAATTGTGTTTCTTGAATTAGGAATAACAACATTCAACAAAAGGATTGCCGATGCAACCAATGAATGAAGAGGAAGTTTACGAAATTGAATTCAAAGTGGATAGGCAATCAAATCTAATCAGAAATCAGCCAACACTATTGTCACCTCAGTAATCCACTAATTCTGAATTGAAATTCATTCACCTTTCGGTTTCGAAACTTCTACACCCATTGGAATGGGACTTCATGGATCATGATGTAAGAGATTTCGTTTTTGAACAGGGTAAGCTTATGCACCAGTTATTGAAGAGAAAGATTCATTTTTTGTTCTCAACCCAGCACAATATCATTAATAACAATAATTCAAACAATTTTTTCAATAATAAATTTCTTTAGAGAGTATTTGACCTTAGTAATTCTGTTTTCCAGATGAACTGAATTTTTTAAGTCAGGGGTTAAAATACAATCTACCCTCTGAGAAGATTTCCCAAGAGCATATTGAATTGACTGCTGTGGATGCAGATCATGTCATAGAAATTTCTAACCTACAGAATCCCAATCTTGTCAGATCCAGAATTACATCCCACTTGAACACTTTTGAGAATTCTCGTCCTACCTTTGCACATAAGAATGAACAATTGATTTCTACTACCAGGAGTTCGAAAAGAAGAATATCTGAAGAAAATCTCATTATCACTAAGGCAGATAAGGGATCCTGCATTGTCGTTTCAGATAAAGTTGATTATGTGCAGATGGTTGAGGAATTCTTAAGCACTGGTTTTCGTTCAATTAACAAAGACCCCACAAAAAATTGTTTTAAATTGGCTCTTGATAGCTCCATAGACACTCTTTATTTTTTCCAAACTAACAAATACAGATTATACTCCATGAATTCCTTTATTCTCCCACTCTATGGACTTCCTGAAATCCATAAGGCCCTGATCCCTATCAGACCGGTTGTTTCCTTTGTCAAATCACCAGCCTTGATTTCAGAGATACTTATTCAATCAAGAATTCATTTGACTTGACTAATAAAATTGAAAATTTTGTAGTTCCACCTAACTCCATTCCAGTTTTCTTCGATGTCTCAAATCTTTTCCCTAGCATCCCACCAGACCAATGTATCCAACTAGTGATGGACATTTTACTTCAAAGTGGCATTCTTATTCAACATACACTCAATTTATGCACATTACTTAGCATTGTCCTAGAACAGAATTTTTTCAAGTTCAATGACAAAAATTATAGTCAAACAGAAGGTCTGAGTAAGTAAGTAAGTAAGTAATTGAGTATTTATTTTTCATAAGACTTGCACAACAAGTATAGAAATTGTCAATTTAGGGTAAAAACAGTAATAATACTAAAACTAAACACTAGCCGAAGATCTGGGAGACAAAAAAACAAAAAAAAAAACAGACATAAAACAGTTTACAAATAATTATGTATAAAACA